CAATACCAACAGCAGAAAAGAGGAAGCCCTTAAGCGTGAGACAGTCCAAAGCAAAGAGGCAGAAACCAAAACCGCCAATGCAGGAGAAGAGAGAATTTCAGGAAGACCCATCCACAACCACCAAACCACCCAAAGCAAGAAGAGTAAGAGGAAAGCAACCCCAACCACAAGCATTAGGAGCAACAATCAACATCCCCAAAGACAACAAGACACCCAATGTAGATGAAGCAGAGACAGCACAGGAAGAAACCGGGGCGTCATCTTCATCAAAAGCACCAGTCAGGAAACCAACAATGAACAAAGCAATATCACCAAGCAAGGTAGGAATACAAGTGATAAGAGAGAAGTTTGAAGAGATGAACAACAGCAAAAGCATAGACACAGGAGACGATCAAAGGTTTCAAGAGGTATATGGTAAATGGAAATCAAGCAAGGGAGAGGATAAGAAACAGTACCTAAAGGAAGCGAAGGAACTTTACAAGTCAATCATCTATCCAAAATTAAAATCAAAATAATTAATAAAATTATTCATTATAATTGTATTAATTATCCACTACCGTTTTTAGTCATAGAAAATGACAGATTGGGCTTTTATCTCCAAGATACATTCGTGTTCAATAACGATATACATTTTGTGAAGTTTGTTATGATTTTTCCATCCATCTCGTCCTTGAATTTGCCAAGAACCTTTTTATTAGTGGCATCATAGCAAAGATGGTTTTTATCATAACCGCTGAAGTCCATATAGTCCTTTATTTCTTTCCAATCTTCAAATAGGTCTTGAGTGAAAGTCTGTAAAACATAACTGTCAGTGTCAGTATAGATTAGTCTTATGTCATCCTTATACCTTGCCTTCAAAACATCATAATAGAAACTATACATATGAACCTTACTTAAATCTAAAACAGTCATTCCTAAAAAGATAGGTTTATTCAACTTCAACACCGTTTTCGTTTTCTCCACTCCTGCCAGTTCTTCATTTATAATATGACTTCCTTTGTAATTAGGATTGTTTATACATTTTTGTATCCTTTCCTGTGTTGCTACTAATTCAAAATCAATGTGGTTTCTTACATTCTCCATCGTTTTTCCATAAACTGCGTTGTTCATTAACTTAAACATATCTTTCTCAAAATCACTCTTTCCCTCTTTTCTCTTTCCAGTGTTAAAGTCAATCCAAGGTTTCAACCATTGCCTCTGTTGAAACTTCACTCCTCTATGGACTGTTTTTAGTTTCATCCCTTTCTTCAAATAAAACTGTAATGCCTTGATATGGACGACATAGTTGATTTTATCCATTTGGTTCAATACAAGTTTCGGTTGTTTCTCATCCTTTGCTTCTTTACCGTTGTAGTAGTGTCGGTGTAGTTCCCTTTGATGTTTTGATAATAATTTTTCTTCAACTTTCATATTTTCGGGTGCTAATGGATAATCTGATTGTTCGTCCTGTTTTTCCTTTGGATACTCTAAATCAACATCTAAAATATAAGCAAAATCATCGTTCTCGTTCCAGTCCATTATCATCTTTTCATTTAAACGTTTCTTAATCCATTTCAGTTCCCCTATTGGTAGTTTCATTGACATTGCCAGTCCATAAAGGTTATTAGCATCTAAATAACTGATATAATTAGATGGTCTGTTTTCGTCCTATTCATCTTCCATATATTTATTGTTTGCTTTCGCTTCCTTATGACTGACTTGACACATACCACCTCTCAAACCCTTTTCAATCATTTCATACATAGTCTGGTCTGTCAATGGTTCTAATATGACACCTGCTTTTAACAACATAGCACCCCAAGCAAAGTTAGGAAGTGTAAAGTAATGTGCGGGGTCTAATCCATAGTATTCTAAACAAAGGTCTCTAAAATTTTCAAAGACATCAGTTAATAGTAAAACATCAGTTCTCAAATACAAGTCGTGATACTGTCCTAAATTTCTTATACCGAAATGTTCCCAAATTTTTAGTGCTCTTTCGTATTCATCAACTTCAATATTGCTTTCGGTAAGATTGCTGTAAAATTTCTCTTTCGATGGTAGTTGCCTTTCTCTAAACTTATCAAATGAATTGAAGTAATCGTATGGATAAACACCTTTATCAGTGAGCAAATCTAAATCCTCATCATTACTCACATAAGGGCTTCTTTTACTATATTTGAAGTTGTTTTGCCAGTTTGGTTTCTTCTCTCCTTCCTCATACTTACGCAACTTGACTAACTTATCCAAAGATGACGATAAGAAACTGAAACTGTCCTTGAAGCAAAGGTTTTAAAAGCAAAGGTTATGAACTTTTCACTGTTAAGCGCTATTACATCTATTTTCGCTCTTTCACTCAATTCATTTGCTCTGAATGATTAAATGACTGTCATAATTTTTAAGGTTGTGAAGGAAGACCGGTATTTTATAATATCTCATTGAAAACTGTAAATTACAATCATCGTGAGCACATCCCCTATACTTACCTGTAAAATGGCAATGGTCTCTACATTTCTTATCACCTTCTTTAAAGTCCATTCCACATACAAAGCAATTCGTCGCTGTTTTAAAGTCTCTCCAATCATCCGCTCTCATTATTATGTCCTTGTTTTTTTATCTTATCCATTATCTTATCTTTTACTTCAATCATCTTCTTAACAAATACATCCATACAATCTTCGCCTCTGTATAAGAAGGGTTCGTTTGAACCATCAATGCTATTGGCAACATTAATCATAAAACCGCAGGGTCTGTGATGTTGGTATTTATCAGTCTTCATTTCTTTCGTTGAAACTGTCCCCGTTCTTGTTGTCAAACATTCAAAATCAGCATAAATAATAAACGGTGCTTTTAGTTTTTTATAGTGATTTTTGAATTTGATGAAGAACTTGTCGGGGTCATCGGGGTTAAAGGATGGCATTTCTATTCGTTGTCCTTCAACTGCCATACATCCTTTTTCACTGTGTTCGTCTAAAAGTCCTTGTGATTTAAACCCGTGATTACAATGAAAGCAATGATATTTTTTTTCATTGTGTTTGTTGGTCTGACTTCCTATAAGTTTATCATAATCTTTTATATAAACATAATGGTAGTCATCCCCGTCTTCAAGTTTCAAAAGGCTGATTTGATGAGTTGCTCTTTTAACCTTTGTTTTTCTATACAAAAGTATTGACTGTTTGTCATCTTCAGGATTGAGAAAATAAACATTGACTGCTATTTTTCCATCATTGTTTTCTTCAAAAGTATCTATGTCAATGTTTGATGATGGAAAATTTACATTGGTCCAATTCAGTTTATTTATCATCTTAATTTTTGTAGTGAAACAGTCGTTCGGGATGGTCTTTCTCATACACTTTGCATATACCACATTGAACCGAATACTTGAAACATTTATTATCTTCGTTTTTGATGTTGATACACGCTTTTTTGTTTTGAACCCATTTAGGTAAAGGTATGAATTTACCTCCACGAGTTGGATTGTATTTATCAAAGTTAAATTTTATCTTATCCATCTGTGTTAGGACTAATCCACTCTCAGACATTTCTAATACTTCCGCTTGATGTTCAATGTCTGGTGCCATCTGGTTCAATACATTTGTTATTTCGTCTTCGTTAGTTATTTCATATCTTCTGCTCCTAACTTCTCTTCTCACAATTTCGTTAGTCTTCTTGCTCTTGAAGTTGCTGAAGGTTTGTAATAAAACCTTCATTCCCTTATGTTTTCGTAAGTATTCTCTTATCTTGAAGTCTTGATATTTTAGATATTGTATTGCCTTGACGCCTTTGACCCTGATGTCGCTGATGGCATAAGATGATGTATAATTCTTGAATGCTGACTGTTCGTCGGTGATGGTTGCTTTGTATCTTTTTTGTATTCCTGTTAAGGCTTTGTTCTTGTCTAAATTTATCCATCTAATGCCTCTCTTCTCTTTCAATTCGTATCTTTTGTAGTCCATAGTCTGTCTAATTTTGTTGAATTTGGTTTTCAATCTGTTCGTGATGGTTTGTTCCTTTCAAAGTTGTAGGTCTTCTCACCTATCTTCAGTTTCTTAAGTTCTTCTCCATTCCGTTTCAATATCTCGCCTGTTTCACTTGATAAAATGTAATCTAAAACAATCTGGTCTGAAGTGTTCATTATATTATGTTCTATATTATTATTAGTGTATGTTTCTTTAAGTAGTTTTTCAGTTGAATTTATCTGTTGAGGTTGTTGAGATTGATTGGAACCGTTAATATACATATAGCAGGGCATATTCAATTCTTAATTATATAAGGCGGTATGTCTTTAAGTATTTTTGGGTTTTATGTTGAATAATGGGGTGTCCTAACAAGTGTCCTCAAATGGTGTCAAAAGGGGTCAAAAAAAACAGTTCAGGACACTTGTTGAAATACTGTTCCTACTGGTGTCTCAAAGATTTCATGTCGTGAATGTCTCATAAATTCTATGCCAGATTGCGCGGAAAGTCTCATAGCATTTTATGTCAGTTGTGTGCCAACCAGATCGTTGATGGTCGAGGTCAGGATTGAAGCGAAGCAATTGTAGAAAATCCGCCACCATCAACTGGGAGATATGCTTTTTGGCAACTTCCACACCCCAGAGCGTGTCGCTCCCTCCCAGTTGATGGATTTTAAAATTTAAATATATATATATATATGTTTGAAGCCCTTTCCCGTTCCCATATTTTAGTGAGACCGTTGCGATGCTGTCCCTTCTGACAAACAGGGGGGTGAATGAGTGGGGTAGGGGGATATACTATATTATATGTGTGGGATGTGTGTGCAGGGGAGAGTAGTCCGCCCCCTTCTCCTCCATCATGTCAATACCTCAGCGCAAGCGCTTCAACTGGTGGGTGGCATGAGGGAACGCAGAAACAAACAATGCGCGAAGATTGCAATTTCTGTGCTACAGCTTTGTTCATTTTGTTTTTTTGACAAAATCATCGCGTGCTCTGATGCTGATGCTCACACTTTTGCATCTCTCTGCTGTTCACTCTACACCCTGTACCTGTTCAAACTTACAGTGGCTACAGGCCGAACACAGTCTTCGCTGCCTCGGCTACACAATTGAATTGGAACTTGTACTTCGCACCTGGTGTGGGGGTGAAGAGGTTGGGTCTCACGAAATTCGCCATGAAGTTCTGCACATCTTTGCAGTGCTGGCGAATGTCCCTGTAGTCGACTGCTCCAACAAGCGCTTTGCTGTAGAGAACCTTCGCAGCCCTGAGACCTCCATCCTTGCCGTCGTGGGAGCAGTGCTCTTGAGATTCCTCTACTTTCATCATCCACTCCTCCATCTCCTTCTTGCAAAATGCATCTTTGTCCTGTGCTATCTTGAACTGTTGAAGGCTCTCGAAGGTTCGCGGGATGTTCTTGAGCATCTCTTCCGTGTAGCCCTTGGCGTGGATGTGCTGGAGGTACTCCTTGGCTTTCTCGAGTGGCATTTCCTCTGCCATCAGCTTCGCAAGCCTTGGCTCATTCACACTCAGAAGCTCCAAGCCCTCGCTGGATGCTATGACTGCCGAAGCCACCCTCGCGTCAGCACAAAGCCACTTCACATCCTTGACGAGCTGGTGGACGTGGATTCCGGTGGAAATTGGGACTGAGCTTGCCGTTCCCAACAGCACACTCTGCGCAGTCTTCACTGCTTGGTCTGCCTTTGGTGAGACCACTGCACTGGCGGGCAACACCACATCCACCCCCACCTGCACCGGCGAGCCTGTCTGCTCCCGCACCAACTTGAAGACTTCGATGACGATGTCCTCGCTGGTCTTGCTAGCGTCCCACCGGAGATGATGTGCCAAGAAGGGGGAGACAAAGGACTCTATTTTTCATCTGGCCATACATTGCGTCGTAGACGTTGCCACAAGCGAGCTTCAGGTAGAAGGGGTTGGGTTTCTCTCTCAGGAAGTGCGAGAGAGTGCTGGACTTCCTTGTGGATTTTAACGCAACGAGGCCGACCATTGAAGTTTTCTCCATCATGTACCTGTCAAACAGGCAAAACCGGTGGTCGTAGTCCGCAGGAGCCTCTGGTTGGAAGTATCCTCTGCGGATTTTGTGCGCCATCCGGTGGGTCTCAGTTGCATTCCGCGCATAGGAGGCGAAGACGCCGACAACGGGCGTCGCAACGCCCAGCGGTGCTGCATTAGCGCGAAGCCACGCCCAAGCTCTCGAAGCCATGAGGAATTTAGCGTTTTTGTCTGCACATGTTGAGCAACAGCCAGTGCTGCGAAATGCAATGAGCAACAGGTCATGTCATGCAATGTGATGCAATGCAACACAAGACAGCAGAAGTCTGGGACTGCAAGAACACCAGTGCTGACGAGGTGCAATGAGGATGTTGTTCCCGAACTCCAAGGCTGTGATGATGTGCAAGAAGAGTTTGAAGGACATTCAGCTCTGCCAAAGTCATGAAACAGTGGAACTTCCGCTTAAACATATTATGAAGTAATCTTTGAGACCCAGAAACCCATTTAAAGATATAGTCCCAGAACACTTTAATGAACGAACATAAAGGTAGGAAATGTTCAAAATGTAAAAATACACAGCCGCTGGACAACTTTGACAATGGAAAGGCACTATGTCAAAAATATTCTGAATATAAACAACAATATAGAGAAAATCACCGAGAAGAATTAAGACAAAAACAGCGGGAACGTTATAAACAATACAAAGGACAGAAACTTGAGAAACAGAAAGAAACGGTTGCATGTCCTATTTGTAAGATTGACATTTCCAGAAACAAAATGTTAAGACACGAAAGAACCCAACGTCATAAAAACAACCTGAACAAACCTGACCCAGAACAAATAGAACAAAAAAAGAAAACGGATGAAGAACTGAAACGAATAAAACACCAAGAAACCATAGACTACCTTAACGCAACATTTCCCTCATATCCAGATGGTTAAATCACAACAACCTCAACAAATCCTAACCACATTCAAACAGAAAGCCCCAGAAAGGTTAGCGACAAAAAAAACCCAGAACACACAACACATAAAACATCAAAGGGAAGGAAGAAACATTGAACAAGAACATAAAAAACATAACAGGCAAAACACCCTCAACAAAACCTACCCTCATTGAATCCAAACATTATTACAACAACCTAAAATATTTATATATATATATATATATATATATATAAATATAGCAATATAACCAAAAAGAAACAGTCAAACATTTCAGATTACAAGATTGAACAAAAACATAACAGCCTCCCACCTGACCTACAACCTGTCTTGTCCTAGCTTCCCCCTTCTACCATTTTTTCCCATATATCCATATATATCCCATTTATATATATATCCCATATGGGATATATATATATATATATCCCATATATATATATATATATATACATCCCATATATATATATATATATCCCATATATATATATATCCCCCAGTTTGAGTCATAGCCGCTTCATCTTCCCACAAGATCTGCGTCGTGGCAAAAACGTCGTCCATAATGCACTCTGGCTGACCTTCAATCAGCCGCCCCGGCGACTCATGCAGAACCTCACCCTGAGCAAAGTCACGTCCTGAATGGGCTGACAACGGGGTCATATATATATATTATATATATATATATTAAATATTAGTTATATTATATATATATATTAGTTATATATATATAATATATATTTATATATATAATATATATATATATATTAGTTACTGTATATATATATATAAGTTGTGTATATATATTAGCTATATATATATATAGTAGCTATATATATATATATATTAGCTATATATATATATATTAGCTCTATATATATATGTATATATATTAGCTATATATATATATATATGTATATATTAGCTATATAAAATTATATGTATATACTAGCTATATATATATATATATGCTCTATATATATATATAATTATGTATGTGTAATTGCATCCAATTTGATATGATATTCTGGTGTTGAAATTGGGTCTACCATCAAATGGCCGCTTTAATGGAGAACATGAGGTTCTTACACCATAAACATTGGGGGTACCCCTATTTTCATAGACCATCAACCAACCAAAAATAAGGTTTGAACCAACCAAAATGGTACCTACTCGGCAAAAAAACACGTTTCATCCGCAAGCTGCGTTTTGGGCGTTCGGTCGCGGGGGAAACGAGAAGTTCTTGTACACAATCACACACATGAAAGAAGCTCGCATTGCCCATGGAAACTAAGCCCCCAAAGGATGGATTTTCAAGTTTTCCACATCTGGGCTAGATTTCATATCTCATCGGTCATTTCTCTGCAAGTGTCCAATGGCTTCAATTAGTGAAGCTCTCGTTTAAGCAGATTCTGAGTATGTCCTCAGTTACCCTCTGGTAAACTAACATAGCTATTCAGCTATTGAACATGGCCATTTCTAGTTGATTTACCCATAAAAACGGTGATTTTCCATAGCAAACTGTTAATTTACCAAAGGGTACATAGACATCCATCCACCACAGGATCGCAGGATCCTCGTGTCCTGCGAAGAGGCCCCAGCCGTGCAGCGAAGATTTGCCGCAGAAGATCTCAGAGACCTTCAGTTTCTCAACCTCGCCAGGGAATGGATGTAGAATGATGTATATATACGACATATATATATATAGATATCAATGATCATATAAAAAAGTGAACTACAGTATATTAACAGATAAATAATAGATACATACCAAGGTACATAACATATATTTACTCAACATACATATCGATCTCGTTTTCGTATGTGTCTCGCCATAAATTTTTCCCGATTTTGGAAGGCGCCTCCTCCACTTCCGTGGCCTCAATGGCTCGCCGCGCCGAGTCGCTCAGGCCCGCAGGCAGGTCGCGCTTCTCCAGTCCGTCCGGATCGAAGTAGGAGTTCCTTCCAGTGCGTGGGTGAAATCCTGAAAAACCTAGATCTACTGATTTTATCTGATTTTATCTATCTATTTGTCTATGTATCATTATTTGTCTATCTATCATTATCTATTCATTTATGTGCCTATTGATTGAATGATTGATCTATCGAATCCGAACCTAATCTAATCTCTTGATCATGTATGATGATGTAATGATGTATGACTATTGATTTTCCTCCTTGTTTTGATAAGGACATTGCTGGTTTCAACCAACAAAGCTGGAATATTTTTCGATGGCCAAAACAACTAACATCTGTAGGAAATCGGACTATATATCCACTACTGGGTAGTGCCATGATTTTCCAAAAAAAAAGGTGGTAAATCCCACTAAGCATCAACCGTTCGAGACCAACTGGTGGAAGGCAGACATGTTGATGGGACATGCTCAGCAGGGTTGCTACACCCCAGATACCAACTGCAGAAACTGGGTAGATAAAAACATAAAATGATCTGTTGCCCCTTGGGTTGGAGCAACCCTATTAATCAATGGTGCTTTGAGGAGAAATTGGGTGAGACTTAATAACAAATGGGAGTGATATAATTTCAAATGGTGCGTTGCATGAATTATAGACATATTCAGGCGTCTCGTTAAATCTGGGAAGCCGTGGTCGGTATTATGCATTAATGAGTTTACATGACAGTAAACACAAACATGTCCAGCAACTCCAGCAACTTATATACCAAACACAAACACATGAACACGCGCATTTTTAAACAGAACGCGCCTATACCAGTAGTGCCGCACAAGGCGGTGGCGGAAGTTTCAAAATAGGAAACCTATAGGACAGGTTGGTTGCTGTGAATCACGGATGGCAGAGCGAATCCACTGATGGACTGACAGGTGGTTGGAGTTGTGCTTTTTGGAACGGTTGCATTGGTTGCAGTGGTCACCTTACCACAACTGCTGGATGTAGTGTGGTGTAGTGCAATGGCACTTGTAGTTGCAGTTGTAGCTGTAGTTGTAGTGTGGTGGAGCTGTAGTTGTAATGTAGTTGCAAGCGCAGTTGCAGTTGTAGCCGTGGTGTGGTGTAATTAGTGTAGTGTAGTGCAGTGTAATGTCGTGTAGTGTTGTGTAGTGTAGTGTGGTAAGGTGTAATGCTGTAGTGTAGTCTATTGTAAGGTAGTGTAGTTGTAGTTGTAGTGTAGTGCAGTGTAATTAGTGTAGTGTAGTGTAGTTTAGTGTAGTGTAATGTAGTGGTAGTTGTAGTTGCAGTTGCAGCTGCAGTTGTAGTTGTCATGTAATGCAATCTGATGAGTGTAGTGTAGTGTTGTGTAATGTGTGTGACTGTAGTTGTAGTTGTTTTTGTAGTTGTAGCGTGCTGCAGTGTAATTAGTGTAGTGCAGTTGCAATTGTAGTTGTAATTGTAGTTGTAGTTGTGGTGGTGGTGGTAGTAGTAGTAGTAGCAGCAGCAGTAGGAGTAGGAGTAGGAGTAGTAGTAGTAGTAGTAGTAGCAGTAGCAGTAGCAGTAGCAGGAGGAGGAGTAGTAGTACTAGTAGTTGTGGTGGTAGTAGTAGTAGTAGTAGTTGTTGTTGTTGTTTGTTGTTGGTGTAATTTGTGTCGTGTAGTATAATTAGATGTAATTACTGTAGTGTAGCGTAATTAGATGTAATGTAGTGTAGTATATTTTCATTTGTAGTTGTAGCAGTAGTGTAGTGTAGTGGTAGTTGTAGTTGTAGTTGTAATTGTAACTGTCTGTCTATCTATCTACCTATCTATCTACTATCTGCAAGCTTGAAAACGAAGCTATTCTGCGAGACTTCCTCAGTTTGCGAACTTGACAACATCAAAAACGCAGCAATTCAGCGAGACTTCCTCAATTTTTGCACTTGACAAGGTCAAAAACGAAGCAATTCT